ACAAAACAAAAAACAAAATTATAGTATGTATGCAAAAAAAAAATATTTATTATAAAAATATTAATTATGAATAAAAATTTATTCTTCAAAAATAAAATTTATAAAAAAAAATAAAATTTTAAGTATCTACAAAATTTCCCATCCGTCTTGTTTTTAAATTGATCCAATGATCATATGCTTTCTCAAAATCAAAATCTTCAATATCAGGACCATTGATTAAAATCATTAAATGCTTATTTAAACTTTCTGTACAAAGCTTATTTCGAAGCTTTGTTTTAATTAAATTTTGGTGTGAAAAAATTCTTTCTACTGTCGCATTTGATAGTGGAACAATAAGTGCAATTTCTACTAGTAAAGAAATATTAGGATAGTAATTAATAAAATTATTATCTATGTCAAAAATATGTTTCCATATTTCTGTAAAATTATAATCTCTTTCTGAATAAGATTCTAAATAAAATTTTGCTGAGTTCTATTCTTCTAATAATTTTTCTTTGTCAATAATTCCTGTAAAAATATTATAATTAGCTACTCTGCTATCTCCATAATAGTTGTCTAAAAATTCAATTTCTTTTTGCCCGTAAGTTGCTATTTGTTTTTCTGTTTTAGGAAACAATTTAACATCGAATATACTTAAAGCATTATATAAATCAGAATGTGGAAATCAGTCTTATAATGCTTCAATGATTGCCTTTGCATAATCTTCAATAAAAACAGGAAGTGTCTCTTGATTAATACTGTTACGGTCTATATAATTATGTAAAATAATACCATATGTAGGTTGTATATCAGTACTTCCAATAAAACTTTCAGAAATAGAGCTAATTGCTGTTTTTAAATGAGGTTTAAGATGTGAAAGTGCAACATAATTAGACTGAAAAACATTGATTAATCTTTTTAATATTGTTGTCAAATCTGCCAAGAATATAGTAACTATAACAAAATCCTCATCTAATAATAAAATTAAATTTTTAGCTTCCTTTTCTCTTTCTAATGAATCCTCATTTAATGTTGATAAAATTGAATCAATAATTTGATAAAGATTTCCTACAACATTCGATAATAAGAGCCATCTAGTTTCAATATGATTTTGTAATTCTAGATTTGGTTTATCATTTATATCCTATTTAACAATTTTTATTCAAAGTTTAAAGTTTATTACAAATAAAGTTTACTATACATAATATTATTACCGATAAATATATATACCTGCATAAGATGTAGCATTTTTTGCCGTTTATAAGATCGACTAAAATATGAATAAATTTTGTGTAAAATTTTTTCATACTCTTTAAAATATTCAACTTTTAAGGAAGCATCTTTGCCAGCTAAATGTAAACGATGTGCTATACAATAATTTGATGATATAAATGGATTCAAATTTTTTAATCTAGCTGATACTCCACTTTGATGTTCTATAAAATTAATAATAATCGATTAATTAAATTTTAAACTTTAATATTTTTTAAAAAATATATATAAAATATAGAGATGTCTTTTGCATGACAAAGATAGTAAATATTTTGCAGTATAAAATACATGATAATCTTATACAAAGAAATCATATAATTAATTTGTGCAAGAATGATACGTATCAGAATCTTGCACAAGGTATATCTCTAATAAATTACCTAACATAGTAGATGCGCCATCTGAACCAAAATAAATTAAAGAATTAAAATTAAAATTTTTTGATTTGAAAAATGATTTTAATTGAGTAAAAATATAAAGAGCATTAGTTTCTTCTAAATTAAGCATTCCAAAATAACGCATATATGGAATATTATTTATTAAATATTTAGCTACAATTGCTAAATGTTTGTCATCTGAAATAGTATTAGATTCATCAATCATCAAACTCCAGTATTTAGAAGCATTTAATTCTTCAAATAAACCTTCTTCAATAATATCACAAATACTAGCTAAAAATCTGTTTTCTGAATTGTTATTTGTATAACTACCATATGATGCTTTTGTTTTATTTTTTTCATATTGTGGTGTTTTAAAAACACATACTCTATCTGAAGTAATATATTCTTTATGATTATGAATTTGAGTTGTAACTAATTCACATAAATTAGAAAACAAATTGATAGATTGATGATTTTTAGCACAAAAATAAACATTTTTCATAAGCGATATAATATTTAATTTATCGATACCCAATTGCTTTGCAAAATTAGTAATAATTTTTGTTTGTTGCGGT